AGAAAAAACAACTCACAGCAGGAGCCGGGTTGTTAGCACAATACTCTGTGACAGCATGCGGGACGATGCTTACTCCTTTCAGCATCTTCTGAAGGCGCTCGAGCACCTCCTCATCAGTCAACTCAAGGGCAGGGACCATACGAGAAGGATCCTCAGCCCCAGAGTACTCAAAACCAAAGTTCTCTCGCTCCTTCAGAGGCTCAACACGACGACGAAGGAAACTTGAGACGATACCGAAGCCGGTCAAGCCCTGCTGTTTCAGAATACATATCCTCTCAAGAAACGGCTTGATCGCCTGGAGCTCATCCGACGTCAGGGGGTTCTTTTCCCATCGGTCATTAACCAAGGGACCAGATCCAGAATGAACAGCAAGAGGAGGAATCAAATTGGTGGCGTAAAACCAGTCGGCACGCCAATCCCTCACAGAATCAACCAGGTCATAGTCAAAGAATTTGCTCTTAAGACCCTGGCGAAACTGAATCCCGCGGCCACCAAGAACATTGGTGTCATCGCGGCGGGGTTGTGGCTTCAGACGAAAGAAGTAACGAAAGAGTGAAAGAGAAGGAGAAATTCCAAGGAAAGTTTCACAAAGATGAACAAAGACAGAAAGATGCAGGACAACATTGGGTGCAAGATAGTTCAGGCTAATCCCAAAATAGCTGAGAAATCGGTGAAGAAAAGCAGAAGCAGGAAGGCAGAGTCCGACACGGATAAAGGAGACGAAAAGAATAATCTCACCAGGACCTAGAGTAGGGACCCAATGCTCGCCTGGAGCTCTCCAATCAGCAATATCCTTGCTCTGGATCAGACCATCACTGACAAGCTCGCGCAACAGATCCTGAGTTGTAGTCGGAGCCGACCAGATCTTCTGAGCAGCCCTCATGGCCATGAATTCTTGATTCTCAATCACGGAAAGCGAGGCCTCCTCGTCCACAAAGGCTGCTTGGGACTTGCTCGCTGATTTCTTCCTACCCATATACTAGCGAAAGCAACAAAAGCACTAAGGAAAGGTGATGTTCAGGCGACGGCGCTCAGATGACGGTGACAATGGCGGCGGCGGAGTTTTGAAGACTAGGGTTTCAAGGCAAAAGCAGGGCAGTAAAGAAAAAGAAGAAGAAAGACCCTTAAATAGATTTTACAGCAGTAAAATGCGGCCCACCGGGCCCGTTTAAACATGGCATGAGAGCGCAACGGTCCATTTACTGACATAGCTAAAATGACGGACGGCACAAATCCACACAACAGTACAGTTCAACGGGCAGATTTCGGACTTATCCATCCAGCAACACGGCAGAGTTATCATATTGCTACAAAAAGAACTCATCAGTCATAAAGCAACGAAGGGTTACCTCACAAGGAACGCAACAACCTGGTCCTTATAGAAAGAACTCTGGAATCTCATAAACAACCGGGACATCAGCAGAATAAAGAATGACAACTCAGAAGACAAGATTCTTTCCATTACAAATGACTTCAAAAAATACAAGATTACACATCTTACAAGACCCAACGAACTCGGTACTACGACAAGCAAGGTAGCAAAGAGGAATCCAGACACAGCTAGGCTCTGGAACGACTACGTGTTCCAAATTGCTACTCGGTAGAACAAACCGCACTCGGCTACACTGTTTTCTTCAAAGGACGGACGCAGTGCATCCAAGGCGAAATTCAGCAGCACGGCGGGACGACATAGACCAGGGGAAGCCGGCAGACATCTGTCTACCCAAGTCCGATGTGATGCTAGATATGGTGTTGATCTACACCGGATAGTCTCAGGGCAAGCAGCGAGGATCAACCCAGAACTGCTGGATGAAGGAACGTATCCCACATCACAAGACTTCCTCCAACTACCGCCACATACTTCCCGGTACAATGCCGCTGCAGGATTAGTCTACCTCTAATCCCTATCACAAGACTCTCTCCAGCTACGGTAAGATACACAAGAACTACAAAATATGCCCGGGGGCTACTCTACTTCACAAACTACCATATTCATGACTACGGAGATTTCAGACCACGCAACAAAATGCTCGATGAATCAAAACAGCACACAAGGAGGATATTTATAGGCCAAAGAAGCGGTGCACATGGACCGGGAGCACCAACAGAACAAACCTAACAAAGGACACAGTGAAAAGACAGAATTCAATGAAAGAGGACTCAGGCGTGAAGGAGCAGTACTCAAGAACGAGCATATTTGGAAGAATATAACAACACTGTACAACTTGTGAACAAACAGCATTTACTATCAACCACCACCATACAACTACATCTAACAACAGCAGACTACTAGAGAACATGCCAAGATCTTGTATCCGAGTTCTTTTCGGATAAAAGAACCCAGGTATATGCTCGGGGGCTGCAATAAGAAAGACTTTCAGTCCTTTAAACAACTCAAATTCAAGATGGGGCTGCAACAGAAGAGGTTTTTAGTAACTTGAACAACTCAGAATCAAGACCCTCCAACTCTTTGTTCCAAATAGCAAGAGGCTCGGGGGCTACACTCAGTGAGTGCACTTTTTTCTTTGAAAAGCGCACATCACTCAGAAGACTTCTTCAAGACAGCAGTTTTCAAACAACATAAGATTCAAGACCCTCCAACTTTTTGTTCTAAATACCAAGAGGCTCGGGGGCTACACTCAGTGAGTGCACTTTTTTCTTTTTCAAAAAGCGCACGTCACCAGAAATACTTCAAGACAGACCACTTTAAGACCTGATGACAAAAAGAACCCGGACCTAGCTATATCCGAGCTCTTTTTGATAAAGAACCCGGATATATGCTCAGGAGCCATTCGACAAAGCATCAGAGCGATTTCAAGAAGACCCTCCAGCTCCTTGTGCCAAATAGCAAGAGGCTCGAGGGCTACACCCAAATGGGAGTACTTTTTTCTTCAAAAAGATACACAACACGCGAAGATCTCACGAAGCGCTACACGATTTCGCCCAAGAAAGCACTCGGACGACGCTTGTTCCTGCTCGGCAAAACCTGAAGGAACAAAGACGAGGCTTCCAGAGCTCAACCATGAAGTGCTCGGGGGCTTGTCGGTGCGGGACCCATGGGATACCCCACAAAGAAGAGAGAAGATCTAGTCTAACTAGGATTCTTCCTATGTAATCCTAGTAGTAGTATTATTCTATAATCCTACTAGGAACCCTCATTGTAAACCAACTAGGATTCTGACCTCCTGACTATATAAAGGAGGGCAGAGTTCCTAGAGAAGGGACTGGACGACACAACACAACACTTGACAATCAATCCAACGAAAAGGCTAACGTCGACTGGACATAGGGCTATTACTTGATCAATGATCCAGGGCCCGAACCAGGATAAATCAACTGTCTCTTGCGTTTACCGTCGAGTTCTGCATACGCTGAAGCCCGAACAAACTGCCCCGGGTACCCCCGTGGCAGGCTATCGGTGGTGAAACATCGACAGGTTGGCATTCCTCTGTGACAACCATCAGCATCCCGTGGCACACTACTGCTTCCAGGTTCTATGGTAAGTCTCTATTCCTCCTAATCCTCTTCTTGCCCAATCCCTTTTCCGATCTATGTTGTAGGAGGTTTGTTTTCCCTCCGCCCCACTCGCCGCAGCGCCGGCTCGCATTCGTCTCCCCCCGCGTCCCTCCATCATTTCCAGATCCCTCTCGTATCCTGCAGGTGCACGCCATATCTCCCTGCAGCGCCCACCACACCCTAGCGGCGAAATGCCTCGCGACAAGAGAGCCAATATAGTGGCGGCAGCGCGCGACAAAATGGAGCTGGAGGACCGGATCAGCGCCTTGCCGGATGGCGTCCTCCAGCACCTGCTCGGTTTCCTACCGGCAGACAAGGCGGTGAGGACGTGTGTGCTCGCGCGGCACTGGCGCCACCAATGGAGGTCCGTGCGTCGCCTGCGCATCGACTGCGACATGCCGTGGAGCAACAAAGACTTTGTCAAGTTCGTGAACCGCCTACTGCTCCTTAGAGCGCCAGGCACACTACTGGATTCAGGTTCTTTGCCGAGTGCCTGAGGCACTCGGCAAAGGCCAAATTGCACTCGACAAAACCTTTGCCGACTGCGGCACTCGGCTAAGAAAACACGGCAAAAAATTGATCGGCAAAGCCCTCTTTGCCGAATGTCTTTTATCGGGCACTCGGCAAAGGCTTTGCTGAGAGTCCCGGGAGCACTCGGCAAAGAAAAGCGACCATCACAACACTGGCCCCGTTGACGATCTCTTTGCCGAGTGCCAATCCTGCAAGCACTCGACAAAGATTTTTTATTTTTTTTAAAAAAAAAATTCTTTGCCGAGTGCCCCTGACCGGCGCTCGGCAAAGTTTGATTTTTTTTAAAAAAAATTCTTTGCCGAGTGCCCCTGGCTGGCACTCGGCAAAGTTTGATTTTTTTTTTTTAAAAAATCTTTGCCGAGTGCCCTTTGTCTGGCACTCGGCAAAGTTTGAATTTTTTTTTTAAAAAAAATCTTTGCCGAGTGCCATGGTCATGGCACTCGGCAAAGCTGGAAAAACGGTTTTCTGAGCACTCATTTTTCCAGCTTTGCCGAGTGCTGTGACCATGGCACTCGACAACAGGGTCCTTTGCCGAGTGCAACACTCGGCAAAGTGACTCAAAATGGCAATTTTTGTTTTTTTACATTCCATTGTGACAAATAAATTCATACAAACATCCATCACATATATATCTCATCCATCACATATATATCTCATCCATCCACACATCCATCCGCACATATCACATCCATCACAATATATATCACATATATAATAATAAGTGCTCAAGTCCATCCAAATAAATCCACAAGTCCATCAAAGTCCACAAGTGCATCACAAGTATATCACAAGTCCATCACCAAGTGAACAACAAATGAAAAAAATACAGCGTGCACTCATCTCGGCCACTGCGACTGTGGTGAAGGCCCAGCTCCATCATTCGGAGGTGCATGAGGTGGATTATTCGAACCTCTGCAATAAGCAGTCAGGCAGAACTAAAAAACACGCCTGACTTAACCTCTGCAATAAGCGGTCAGGCAGAACTAAAAAGAAAAGTGCCCAGTAAACTAATATAATGCCAAGCTATAGTTACCTTTCAGTAGGACAAAACTCGATGGAGGTGACTGAGGAACCAAGATGAACTTTCTTGCTCCAGTGAGAAACTTCCATTTTCTTTACATCAACAGCACAGAAGTCACCATCATTGCTTCCTCTGAAAGAAATACAGATCCATGTGAGCATGCTAAAAGGTTATACAGCGCACAGTTAGAGTGATAATCATAACTAGTACGACTTCCTCTCCATTGTTAATTGATGCCCTTACCAACAAGATTAAAGTGTTATCAGATCGTACAACTAATTGTTTAATAGACAACGACTGTCAAGTCAATATATAATACTTGAGTTGAACACATAATCAGATATACAAGCAAGCAGAATCATACTGAAAAATAGGCTACACTCTTGAATTAAAAAACATTAACTAGGAGATGCTGAAGTATGCAGCATGTTAATCCCAAAATTGGCAGATGTAGATGTTCCTAGAAATGCTAAATGGGCTCATACAACAGCAGTACTACAACACTAGCAGAAGTATTTTATCCACTCACAATGCCAGATACTTCCCATCCAAGCTAACTGAAAATGTGGAGATAGGCTTTCCCAGAAGTCTTTTGTACCCAATTCTCTTCCAATAAACACGCTCCAGACAACAGTAACAACTTTGGAACCTGCTCCAGTGATGAACACAGATCTAGTCAAACTCAGCCTGCCTTCAATTCCGCATATGTATAATTCTCAAGATCAATTAAAAGCGCACCTTTTGCAACAGTGCAAAATAGGAATGGTTTCATGCCATCCCTAGAAAAGCGGCAACACTCAATCTTCTCATCCTGTAGGCATACAAAGAAAAAAGTAGGGAAAAGAAGTCAATTTCAACCATCTCAACAAGTAAACAAAAATAAAAGAAATTTATCATAGCATACCGAGGATCGAGTCAAATTGACCAGTGGTGCGCCCTCATCTATCTTCCATATTCTTGCAGATCCATCAGTGGATGTTGAAACTAAGAACTCTGAGTCTAAGCTACAAAATGAAAGGCACCAATGCTGTATCAGTTGGTGATGATTGAAGTGACCAGTAACCAGAAACCATGACACTAGAGAAGTTGAGATGTAGGTTTGGAATTAACTATATGTTATACTATCAATGTTTTTTTTTCCAGTTCAAAAGACAACTCTAGTGAGTGTGTCCATTTTACATAAGCATTTAGCTAATCTAATGATGATATTTCTGGCATTCCTCTGTGAACAATAAGAAAAGAAAAGTAATGCTTTAAGCTTGTCCTGACCTGATATCCATGTCTCGGAAGGATTTATGAGCTTTGGGTTCATCCAAAAGCACATTCATGCTTGGCCAATGGAATATTCTGAGATGCCCATCCTGCAGTGGTACAAAAGAACAAGTCAACTGGTATCAGATTCAGCTAAAAAGAGTATTGATATCAGACAAGTCACTGCATTGAACAATAGGACTAGACAACATATGAAACATTTAGAATAAATAGTTTTCATAGCATATACAAAGGAAGGGTTTTAAATGCAAGAGAGTGGTTCAAAATATAGGATGTACAAAGGAAGGGTTTAAATGTACAAACAGTTAAAATAAACTGCTGACAACTTTCTTCTTATAGCAGGTATAACAAAAGAAGGAGCATCTCTTGGAATAATGCGTACTGTGAACTCTTCAAATATCAGTTTGAATAACCTATAGTTTGGAAAGATGATATGGTAATTAAGTCATAGACTTGATAAAGTATAAGCAAAGGACAAACAAACAAAATGGATCAAGGAAGGGAGAAGCTTTCAGTAGTAAATATGATCAAAACTAAAAGGAATGAAATTAGTGTGGAAATTAAAAAAATGTTCAATTGGTTAGATTAACAAGGAAACTGAGGAAGAATATTTCTATTGCACTTATGATATCCATGAGCAAAATTAAGCTGCTTTAAATTATCCAGATGATCATTTGTTGCGAAATTGATGACGATGCAATTATATGACACAAATTTACAAACTGTGTATCGCTGTAAGTATAAATTGCAATGGTAACTTTTCATTCTCCTATCATTTTGTATCTCATAATCTCATAAATCTATAGGTTCTACTAATAAGAGTAGTTTTACTAAAACTTGAGAAATCCAGAGCGTAAGCATTACATATATGTTGCAACTTTCAAATTACATGTCATGCATTTCTTACATAACTAAACTACCAGGAGGAGAAATTCTTGTCGTTAGACACTAAAATCACTGCACATTTGGAAGGTCACGAAGATCTACATAAACTTATATTCCCAAATGAACTAGTACAACTAATTCCACAAAATCCATTACTCAATTGCATAGCTCAATCTATTTAAGACCTGTGACCATTTGGTACTATGGTGCCAAAGAAGACTGAGGAAATGCTAATTTTCTGAAAGCGCTTTCAAGGAGTGCTCGAATCATTGTTTACACTAGTATCCATATCATCTCTCCGTTGTCCAACATGTGGATCAAAATTTCCCCACTTATACCAGCAAAACTGTCCAATAGCTAGTTATCAGCACAATCTGACCCTGTATACATAATAATGGTAAAGTACAAGTACATTTCAGCAATGTTAGTAGCTGGGCAGCACCATTGGTTCAACCCAAGAGGGAATAAAACGAAAGTGTGATCTGCGATGAGTAATGAGAGGATGCTCCAGTTTCCAAAACAGAGCCCTGATTGAGCCTCCTTAAAATAGCAAGTCAGCTGTCAATTGAGCAATTCAGCCGCAGAAATAAACTAAAATCGCTCTGAATTCCACACTCAACAACTAATTAGTGCCACTGATGGGCGGACAGACCAACGGTCCAACAGTGCACTCCAAATCACCCAAACGGACAAAAACCGGAAACGCTGCGCAGCTGGCAGAAGCGAACCCACCCAATCCATCGCCGAGAGAACGTCCTCGCCCCACGCACCACTCTAAAATTTCACCACTAACACCAACATGAACAAGCGGTTTCAGGAGGAGGCGAATGGCGCACCTTTGTGGCGATGTGGCGCGGCGCAGACGAGCCGAGGGGCGGAGCACCGGGTCGCCGCCACCTGATATCTCGCGACCTTCTCCTCGCTCACCCCTCCACCGTGATGCGTGGGGACGGAGCACCGGGTCGCTGCTTGGCGGCGAGACGCGAGAGCGGGCAACAAGACCGCCTCCCAGCCGCGAAGTGCAACAACGCGTGCTCGAAGCAGAGGTGAGGTGGCTGTGCAGGCGGCGGGCACCGAGTCTGCTCCCGGCATCCAGCCGCGAGCGCCGGCGCGGGAAGGCGGCGGCGGCCCGGTGGTGGCGGGGCGCTGGGCGCGGCGGGCGCGGCGCGGCCTGGGAGGGGAGGGGGCGGCGCGGGGCGGGCTGGGCGTTGGCGGGCGTTAATGCGCGGGGACGACCGGGAGCGGCGGCGCGCGGGCTGTTTGTCTGTGGCATGACTGCCCGGCCGAATTCGGTCAAGTCCCCCACCCGCCCCTTTGCCGAGCGCCGGATCAGGAGGCACTCGGCATCCGGCCGTGGACAATTTTTTTTTTTAAATTCCTTTGGCGAGTGCTCGAAGATACTCGACAAAGAAGAAATTTCTAAAAAAAATCAAAAATCTCTTTGCCGAGCGTCTTATTTTTGACACTCGGCAAAGACCCCCTTTGCCGAATGCTATGCCCCGGCGCTCGACAAAGTTTTTTATTTTTTTTGTTTTTGGCCTTCAAATTTTTTGTGCAACCCTTTTTAAGTACCAGGAACTCTTCATTAGAATTTGGGAATTTTTTTTACTTTTTGATATATTTAGTTACTTTACTTCGTTTACTTGAATTTTTTCGAAAAATATAAATTTGAACTGCACATGATACGAATAATGGAATTTAATGATTCAAAAAATGATAGTCATGTTAGTAAGTGTAGTGTGAGGCCGTATCCAGGAACGGACCCGAAATTTCGGACATCTTGTTCACGGAACATGACCGCGAACTTGCGTGCGAAGTGTTTTAAAATTCTATAAAAAGCAAACGAAGTCCGAAAATTATGAAACTTGTTGAGGTATCGTGATATCGTATGTGGATGCTATGATAAAAATTTCAGAAGATTTCGTGCACGTTGTCACGTACGATGCTTACAAACCAGGACATCTCTACAATGTGTCCGGCACTCGAAAAAAAACTCTTTACCGAGTGCAATTCTTTGTCGAGTGCGGCACTAGACAAAGAAGGTCTTTGCCGAGTGTCCAATTTTTGACACTCGGTAAAGCAGTTTGCACTCGGCAAATGATCTGTTTTTCCAGTAGTGGCATGGCTTTAGATGAGTTCGAGGTCTCAAGCGAATACACAGATTTAGACCCGGAAGTCGAGGAAGAGATCCATATTTGGATCCGACACGCCTTGATGTGCAAAGTACGGGTACTGATCGTCAGGCTGTGTTTAGTTGGAGGGAAAGTTAGAATTTGGGTACTATAGCACTTTCGTTTTTATTTGGCAAATAGTGTTTAATCATGGACTAATTAGGTTTAAAACGTTCGTCTCGCGATTTTCAACCAAACTGTGTAATTAGTTTTTTTTCGTCGATATTTACTGCTTCATGCACGTATCGAAAGATTCGATGTGATGGATACTGTAGCATTTTTTTGAAACTATTTTTGGACCTGAACACGCGCTCAATGTGTCGATCACGCTAGACACTCCTCTGATCTCCCAGCACCTGAGAAGACTGGTGGTTGACTATGTTGATTTTTGCGCCGACTGCCTTGATTTTGTGACCTGTCCAACATTGGAGGTTCTCAACATAACAGGCAGCTATCTGTCCTGTTTAAGGATTCTATCCCAGTCCGTGAAGCATCTGCGAATCATAAGCACCTATTTTGATAATGATATCCGGGCGTGTATTTCTATGCCTAGTCTCATTTCTCTGCAGCTCAGCAATTTCCATGGCAAAGCACCTCTACTTGAATTCATGCCATCACTACAAACTGCATTTGTCAGGCCTGCCGGCTGGGGGGTGGATACATTTTGTCTGAAAGGTGATTCTGCGGTTGATTGTTGTGGCATTTGTGCATGTTGTTGTGGCGAGGATGACCAAAAAGGTCGTTGCGTAGTTCTTGGGGCTCTGTTGAATGCAACGTATTTGGAATTGATAGGCTACTGTCGAACGGTATGCACACGTCCATCTTCTTAGATCTAATTGTTCAGTTTGTTGCTTGCAACACATTTTTTCCAGGTTCAGCATCCCGCCAAAATATATTGGCCATTTAGCACGTCATTCAGTGGCACTCCCACATTTGAGCTTATTGTCCTTTTAGTGTTTTTCTGACATTCCACATATCATATTGCCACACTTGATATATAACTTTAAGGGCAATCTTTGATTTTCAGAATGCATGTTACAAATGCTTACATCATCTACATCCATACTCATTTTCTTACCTCTTTTCTGAACGTTACTCAGTTCATTTTCAAGAGGGATCTGAGATGGTGCCCAACATTTTCTAAGTTAAAGACACTGTTGCTGAATGAATGGTGTGTAGCTATTGACTTCATCACACTTGTTTGCATTCTCCAACATTCACCTGTTCTTGAGAAGCTCATTCTTCAAATTTCCCAGGTATTTCTTGTAGATTGGTTTGATGACACTGACAAGCGCTTTGTGCGGAGGATTCAAGAATTGGAGGTCAGAAAAGCCTTGAAAAGGATGAAAGGGAGCAAAGCAATGAGCCCTGATGGTATCCCAATCAAGGTGTGTAGATGTCTTGGGGATATAGCTATAGTATGGCTAACCAAGATGTTGAACAATATCTTTCGATCGAACAAGATGCCTGAGAAGTGGAGAAGAAGCATATTGGTACCAATCTACAAGAACACGGAAGATATTCAAAGTTGTACTAATTATCGGGGAATTAAGTTGATGAGCCACACTATGAAGTTATGGGAGAGAGTCATCGAGCAGCGCCTGCGAGGAACGACACAAATATCAACAAATCAATTTGGTTTCATGCCCGGAAGGTTAACCACAGAAGCAATCTTCTTAATAAGACAGGTTATTGAGCGGTTTAGAGAGCAGAAGAAGGACCTCCACTTGGTTTTCATTGACTTGGAGAAGGCTTATGACAAGATATTAAGAAATGTTATGTGGTGGTCTTTAGACAAACATAAAGTCCTATCAAAGTATGTGACCCTCATCAAGGACATGTACAACAATGTTGTGACTAGTGTTCGAACAAACGATGGTAACACATATTACTTCCTGATTAAAATTGGACTTCATCAAGGGTCAGCCTTAATCCCGTATCTCTTTGCCTTGGTAATGGATGAGGTTACCAGGAACATACGAGGGGATATCCCTTGGTGTATGTTGTTCGCTGATGTAGTGTTAATGGACGAAAGTCAGGCGGGAGTAAATATGAAACTAGAGTTATGGTAGCAGACCCTTGAGTCTAAATGTTTTACATTGAGAAAAAACTAAAACCGAATACATGATATGTGACTTTGGCGGAGTTGTACAGGAGGAGGAAGATGTGAGTTTGCAAAGTCAAGTAGTGCCTAAGAAGGATACCTTTCGGTATTTGAGATCGATGCTATAGAGGGATGGAGATATTGATGTGGATGTTAGCCATAGAATCAAAGCAGGGTGGATTAAGTGGCGACAAGCTTCTGGCATTCTCTATGACAAACGGGTACCACAAAAGTTAAAAGGCAAGTTCTATAGAACGACGATTAGACCGGCTATGTTGTATGGAGCAGAATGTTGACCTACAAAGATTCAACATGTTCAACAACTGAGTGTTGCAGAAATGCGTATGTTGCGATGGATTTACGGTCACACAAGAATGGACCAAGTTGGGAACGATGATATACGTGATCGCTTAGAGGTAGCACCAATTGAAGAAAAGCTTGTCTAACATGGGTTGAGGTGGTTTGGCCATGTCCAAAGGAGACCTCCATAGGCACCAGTGCATTGTGGAGTTCTAAGCCAAGCTAATAATATGAGGAGAGGTAGAGGAAGACCGAAATTGACATGGGGGAGGCAATAAAAAGAGATTTGAAAGCTTAGATATATACCTAGAGATCTATGTTTGAATAAGAGTACTTGGAAAGCAGCTATTGAAGTGCCTGAACCATGACTTGAGACTCTTGGTGGGTTTCAACTCTAGCCTACCCCAACTTGCTTGGGACTGAAAGGCTATATTGTTGTTTTTGTTTCAATCAAGAGTATACGTTGTTATATATACACGATACATTAGTGATAACTCTAGCGTATTTTTTATGTATCATCCATTATTGACCTTGTTGAATATACATTGTTTTGTTTCAATAGGACACAAAATGTAAATCAGAATCAGAAGGAAGAAATCATCAACTGGAGCGAGAACCACAAGTATCGGAACACCTTAAAATAGTTGAAATAAAGTGCGAAAATGTTGGTTTTCGGGTTTTTGAAATCTTAAAGTTTATTGAGTACATTTGTCATGCAGGTCAACGTCAAACGGGTTAGCAGAAAGTCAACCTGTGAGTTAACCAGCTGCACTCTTCAGTCATTTAATTTATTAGTATCTGCATTCTTTTGTGGTCCAATTTAGCCAATTCGATGCATGTTAACCAGACATGCATACTGTTACTTTTTTTTTGAAATAAAAGCAAAAAATGTATGCTGGAGTGTGTTCTTTGGCACGAAACTCAACAGATTTATACTTAAATTGTTGATTTCCACGTAATCGTCTCTTTTTCTTGTACAGTATTCAGTTTCGAGAACTGAAGGTCCGAAAAGCTTAAATTTTCAACTGTTTGGATGGCTCAACTATCCATTGCCAAGGTCGTACTCCGCATTGCCAAGGCTGAAGTTTTGTCCTTGTGTTTTTTCTGGCTGGCTGATATAATGATATTATAGAACGAATACACAGATTTGGAGGAACTGAATTAGACTCTGTTGGCCTATTTTGACATGTTACTGAACTAGAGGATTTCTATCTCACCTCACTTGTGCAGCTTTCAGTTTCGGGTAGGGGGTAAGATACTTTGGGATGTTTGGTGGACCTACTGTCAGTAATTGACAATTCGGGCTGAAGTTTGTCACCTTCTTTTGTGAGAAAATTTTATAAACTATGTTGGCTGTAGCAGTATCAACAGCATATAATCGACAATAGTACCTGTTTAAGCCATCTAGCTGGACCTAGTTTGTAGCATTATCCTGTTACTCTTTCACTCTCTGTTACTGTGATGTTCTTAGCTTCCTGGACTTTTCAGTCTACTTTGCTGTAATGAGTGGAACCGGT